TCTTCCTCCAACACCTCCCCTCTAATATATGCTCCCGCAAGGGCAATATAGCCCCATTTTCTATCTGTACACAACTTTATACCATAAACGTGGATTTTATCGTGGCGTAAACGTCCATTTCCTGCCTTAGAAGTGCCCCTTCCCACATGTGGCCACCTCGCCTTAACGAGCCGTCAATCACTCGCAGTCGGCGGCGGTGACGTCGCACCCCCCCCCCTCCTCTTCCTCCAACACCTCCCCTCTAATATATGCTCCCGCAAGGGCAATATAGCCCCATTTTCTATCTGTACACAACTTTATACCATAAACGTGGATTTTATCGTGGCGTAAACGTCCATTTCCTGCCTTAGAAGTGCCCCTTCCCACATGTGGCCACCTCGCCTTAACGAGCCGTCAATCACTCGCAGTCGGCGGCGGTGACGTCACGCGCCGAACTTCCACCGAGCCGTCATGTTCTACCTACGCCAAAAGATCAAGATTCTCACTCAAGAAGAAAACACGCGTGGGGCCAGATCGTGTTTCGCCTCCCTTTTCTTTCCTGTGACGGGGACTTGAGTTCAGTGGCTCCACAACCTTTCAAAATGGAGTCCTCCACAGACACTCTCACGAGAGGTGGCGGTGGAGGCGGAGATGGGAACGACAAGGGACGAAATAGGCCCACGAAGTGTTGCCGCGCGTGGGTTTTTACGGTGGGGCTCCTGTGGTGGGGTTGTCCTGACAAAATGTAACCCTGCAACTAACGTGAATTCATAGGAAATCCACGCGAACGCGACAATGAATAGCGCAAAATGGCAACCTTCCCCCTCTCAAACTCGAACCTCGGTGGGGTGGGGGGAAAAAAAACAAAAACACGACGACACGAGTGAAACCGCGTCCGCGCCGCCAGCAGCTGTGGTTATACGCCGCCGCCGTGACGAAATGCGCATGTTTTGAGACATTTTGTTTGGGGGGCGGGGGGCCATTTGCGACGAGGAAGGAGAAAGGTAGAGCAAGACAGAAGAAGGTAGAAAAGTATCCGCCGCGGCGCACAGGCGGATAAGAAAGGGCCCACAGCACCGTCACACGGGGGAGTGTGCTGGGTGCATCAGCGCCCCCTTCTCGGTAGACCCCCGCAGCTGCAGGCGAGTCGCCCTTTGTGCAGGCCCAGCTTACCGGACTTGTTATTGAGGTCAAAGCAGGCTGGCAGAGGTTGCTGGTCATCATGCTAGCTAATAACTAAAGGTAGCTCGCAGGATTGGTGAAATGCTACACACATTTGTTTACAATTTTGCTCAAACGCTAGAATTAGCTCA